TTTTCTGAAACAAAACCCTAAGAGCGCAGATCTCTCAATCCGTCACTTTTTGCGATCTAATACATCCCACAGTGTTTAGAGCAGGGGCACCCGAGCGGTATGTTGTGTGTTCCCTGCTGGCGTTGGCGGTGAGGCGAGTAGGGTCAGCGCCAAGTCAAGCGGAGCAGAGTGAAGAGAGGAGAAGGTGGCAGCGGATAAATATGCAAATGTTGCCCGCTTGCCCCCCTCGGTCCGGTGCCGCCACAGCCCTGCCCGGGCCGCTCAAGTTCTCTAGTAGTAGAGCTCCGGTGCAAGATCGATGCTGTGGCGTGGCATGCAGGTCGACGGAGCGACCAAGACGGGGCCGCAGCGCGGGCCGCGGCGGGGCCCAGGCTCGAGCCGCGCCCAAGCCACGCACCCATCGATCAGGTCCTAGTCACTCCACACCCCCGAAGGCCCGAAGGGCACCCGCGGGGCGCCCACGGGTCACCCACACTCCCACAGCAGGGGCCCAACGCGCGCTGTGCTGCAAACGTGTCTGACGCCCTCGGCGGCCGAAGTTTTTCCCCCTTTTCTTCCTACCGCGACGTGGGCTCTTTTGTATGAACGGACGGGACGGCCACAATGAGATGGGCGCTGCCGGCGCTGCCTCCATGAGCCGGGCTCGAGTGGGGCGGAGAGGACAGGACCCGAGGGGCCCATGGGCTGGGCAGCCATGAGGCAGCAGTCGGGGCGCTCAAGGCCGCTGCTGGTCCTGCCTCCCGAGCCCTGGGCCCTTTGCTGGGCCCTGGCAGCCCTGGTGCTCCGTGCCTGGTGCTGCTGCTGCAGGGCTTCTGCACCGCCACGCCACGCCCAGCCACGCATCTCCCCGGCTATTGCCCCCACATAGCCCTCCCTCGTTGCCCCCCTTGAGTCCGGCTCGCGGCGTGTTCAGAGGATGGAGAAAATGTATATACTTTCGAGTGGACGTCAAAGCGAGTTGTCTAATTTCTGATCTGTCTTGTTCCAGGACACCGCAGCTGCCCGACGCCGCCAAGGCGCCATCATAGAGAGTATGCACAACCATGGGAAAGGAGTTTACTCGGGTACATTCTCAGGTATGCACCGCGCCCGATGCTTCGCACGGTTACACTTCCACGTTGAGATTGATACCTAGCTCTAACGGCTTTCTTTTCTATCTTCCTCTTCACAGGAACATTAAATCCAGCTCTTCAAGACCGCTTTGGGAGGCCGAAGCGTGATATTAGTACAGTAATTCACATTCTTAATGACCTGCTGTGCGCGACGCCGCAGTACCGGCGCTCGTACCAGGGCTTACCTCAGAGCAACTTTGTCCTCGAACCCAACTCATCGAGCACCTCAAGTACCACTCCTAGCTCGGGCGAGACCACTGACACCCAGTCAGCACCCCCTCAGTCGTCAGGTAAGTCGCGGGAGTTAGCATACGTCCTTCTCTTTTTTTTACTCCCTTTTGAGTCGCCTCTCACGAGCGCTCGGGGGAATTACCAAGCGGCATATGCGTACTTGTTTCGCTAATCCTCGCCTGTGTATCGTTGCAGATGACGCGGAGAACCAGGCCACGCGCGGTAAAGTGGAGCGCCTACGGCTGGTCATGGAGGAGAGGCGGGAGCGGAGGCGGGCGCGGCGCGAGGCGCGCCACTCGCCGTACGGCTCGTCGCAGCCCCAGCACTGGACCGCCAAGTCCGAGACGCAGCCCGCCGGGAAGAGCTCCGAGGCCATGGACACGGATCAACCCCTGTGTGATATCAGCCCGCCTGAACCCGTCGTCGCCTGAACTGATCCTCTCCTAAGCCTTCCCTTACTGATATATGACTTTTCATGCAATTAGTTGAAAAATATATATAATATATTGTGAATAGGAATGCCCTTTGACTTTATCTTCAGACTGTATACAAAATTCTATCAAATTCCATTGACACTATTGTGAAGCGTTTGAGCTTTGTCATGTTCTCGTGGAAGAAAGTTGCTTGATATGTATTGTACACCTAAGGGTTAGCTATATTACACTTGGCCACCACCAGGGCCTCTAGTTTAGCAAAATATCAACTTCTAGTGAGAGCTCCAATTTTTGTTAGCTCTAATTAGTTGTTTGTTGAGGGTTATAATTATCAATTGTAGTCAATATTTGGACTTAGTATTTCAGGTCTTCAAAATCCCACCAATGACCATTATCTAAGTGTAACTTGTAACTTATATTCCTCATTTGCGTGTGTACTGCTACAAGTCACTTTTTTTTTTCATAGCAAGACTCTCGCTGCCGGAACTATATGTTGATGTAAGGGATGTGTTTGCGCTGTGAATTTTTTTTTTTTTTTTAATTTTTCTTAAGTGCAGTCTGCACAGAAACTTAGTTTTGTTGGTTGTTGTTTCCTCTATGTTGTAAAATGTTTTGATTGTTTATTATTTTTTCCTTGTGTGACAAATGGTGTGCCTAAAGGTTGGCCCCAACATTCTATATCCTGTTCAGTAAAATTGTTTCCATTCTTTGTTCACATAGTATATTGAATTTGTGATTTTAATGTATAATTTGTTTACCATTATTTGACATTTTTCAGGCGGTTGGATGTCTCTTTATGTAAATGCTGTGAATCAGACTTATGGTACAGCTCTGATAAGAATCCCTGTACTGTGTTGTCCAATGTACTGAGCTACTGAGCTGTGTTGCGGTAGATGATTTTCTTCTTCCTTCCCCATTTTCCTCTTGTCCCCTCCTTTCTTTCTTCTACCCTTCACCCTCCCTCATCTTATCTTGTGTATCATATTTCTTACTATGTTATATTATTCATTACAAATAAAATTAAATGCAAACATTATAATTATTTGAAATGGAGGATATGTCATTGTCATCGACCTTGAATATGTACCATTGAGGCCTGATGCCTTCACTGCAGTCTGCAGTGGCTTTTAACCGAACAGAATTT